CAAGTCTGTTTTAAGTAGTCAGTCGACAAATATTCCTAGGACTCCTGGAGGCTACATCAGTAAGATGCCATGTGGGGGATCAACATAACTGTATTTTTCTTACTGCATCATATACAAAAATACAGACCATATGAGCTTTGAGCAAGTGTTCTGTATAATGGTCCTAAAGAAGCAGATGAAATCCATGAAATACATCAACCTTCTAAGGTAATAATACATTTTAATATGCTGGCTACTGTAATGTCATATATTGTTTATACGTTTTAATGTTAATATTTTGTTATACAATTTGTTAATTTTAATGCAAATATTTTTGTGCAGTAGATCTGCACTTACATTTAAAGCCCCCTGTTTCTTCTTGATAGTTATAACATTTATGGGGATGATAGCACCTTAAGACTGTAAAGAATCTCGGACGAGAAGATATCTAGAATTATTTGTGCTCTTTCCTTGGGCCAAATGGATAAATGGGTTTATTCTGGAAACAAGAAAAATAAAGATAGTACACTGTGTGCGAATTACAGACCAATTTCTTTAGTTAATATAGATGTAGAGATCTATGCTAAGATCATAGCCGAGCGGCTTAAACGATATATCCCTCAGTTGATACATCTGGATCAGGTAGGGTTTGTACCGCACCATGAGGCGAGAGACAAGACAGTGAAAGATCCTTACATTAATAGATTACCGCACAGAAGACTCGCCTACCATTTTGTTTGCTAGCGGTAGATGGTTTGGTATATGCTGAAAAGGCATTTGACCTTTTGGGGTAGAATTCTTTAGCAGCAAATCCTGAACAGATAGGTATTCCTGCCCCACTTTTGACCAAAATGTTGGCTTTTTTAGCAAGCCCCAACTGCTAGAGTTAAAATCAATGGGATCTATTTTATCTGAATCCATTATTATTAATAATGGTACGCATCAGGGGTGTCCACTGTCACTACACCTGTATATTTTGGCCATGGAACACCTGGTAGTGGCCCTTTATAGTAACACCATTATTAGGGAATCTGTTTGAGGGACAGGGAAATTACGGTAAGCTGAGCCTGTATGCGAATGATCTGCTATGATAATAACTGATCCTAAAGTTACTTTCCCAGCTTTGATGTCAGCTTTTACTCAGTTTGCAAAGGTCAGTAATTTTAAAGTTAGCATAAATAAATCTGACGCTCCTAATGTGCCATTATTGGACACAAAGGTTAGAGAGCTCCAACAGGCTTTCCCATTTGTATAGAAATCTAGGGTAATAAAATGCTTGATGGTATTTTTGTCACCAAGTAGTGAATTATTATAAGATCTTAACTATAAACCGTTATTGACAAATATATATCAGAAATTGGATAAATTTAAGCATATCTGGTTCGGTAGGGTGGCGTATAAAAAGGACATTCTTCTGCATCTATTATATATTTTTCAGACCGCATCTATAGAGATACAAAATACATTTTTCTGCTCGCTGCATTCTTCGCTCTATCGATATATATGGGCAGGTATCGCACCATGGTTAAGGTACACTATACTAAGAAAGCATAAGCAAGAGAGTGGGCTGGGATTGCCTCATGTAGAACTGTACTATAAGTCGGTTCTTGCCCACTTAATGGATACGATCTTTAATAAGTCTCATAAGCTTTGGGCTCAAATAGAGGTACTCCTATCTCCAGTATCTCCAATATCATTACCATGGGTTGCCCCTGTTTTGCGACCTTCTAGTAGACATCTTTCAATGTGCATACCCCCCATGCTAAAGGTGTGGGATGCACTTATTAAGATTTATAAGATCTCTACATATTATAGACCTACGACACCTGTTATAGGTAACCCAGAATTTTAAGTCAGAACTTTAGGTGCAAGGGTTATAAATATGGGTTAAGACAAAACTGTCCCCTTTCTCGGAGATTCTATCTCTGTACAGGGGCAGTGGTTAAGATATTTCCAAAGATTTTTATTATAATTTGTGGAGCAGAGGGCAAGTACACAGGGAGTTGACATCAATGGAAAAGTGTCTGCAGGAGAAAGTACTCCATCATATAGTTTCAGTTCTGTATTATTTATTGCTGGCAAATATGACTCCAAGAGTGCCTTATTAGGTAGCTGAGTGAGAGAAAGAGTTGAAGTGTAAAATATCATACAGTGAGCTAACAAAATCTTACATCTTAACGCATAAGCTCTCAGTGGCAAGTAAAATTCAAGAGAGGAATTTTAGGATTCCAACTAGGTGGTATTGTTGCCCTACTAAGTTGAGCAACATTTTTTCCACAAATCTCAAGTAGCTGCTGGAGGTGTCAACAGTTCTCAGGGACAAGGATACATACAGTATAAGGTGGGAGTGCCCCCGAGTTGTGTTCTTTTTTGCAGCAGTGTTTGACATATATGAACACATAACAAAATCAAGAGTGGAATGAACAACCTAGTTAGCCTTACTTTATATCTCTATTGATGCAACGTGTGACAGTTTCATTGTCATACGTCGGATCGAACTATGAGGATGAGTGATTGTCACTCACCTCATAGTTCTCCTTTAAGTAATAAATAAGCGATGGAGGACAAAGTATTGCCTCACTGTTGGGTGCCCCACATGCATGGCCCCGTATTTTTTCTTGTGTGTGTATTTTTTTAATAAACATTCTCTTTTGCTTTAAGGTACCTTGTTGTGACAGGTAATACTTAAAATATAGGGGGGATTTGAGGAGAAGAAAACAGTTGTAAAAATTATTTTCGATTTGGATGTATACAGTATAAAATCCTCTGTAATATGTGAATATTGATCTGTGTGGTTTTTGTGGGTTTTCTTTTTTGTAAAATAAAAAAATATGATCATTTAAAAAAAATTATATGGTTAAGTTCACCCCCCTTTTTTCTTGGTTTAAAATGATCCTTTAATGTTGTTTAACAGATCACTGTGTTTGCTATGTATTTACTGTTTGATATTTACTAGTGCTTTTCCTTTACAGTTTCAGAAGGAGCGGTTTAACATTGACATGCCCCACCGATTCAAGGTTTACAATTACAAAAGCCCAACTTTCTGTGATCACTGTGGCAGTCTGCTTTGGGGCTTGGTGAAGCAAGGGTTAAAATGTGATGGTGAGTGTAAACAAACTTCTGTTATTTTTTTATGGAGATGTGACCATTGTCTGATTTATAAATGTCTAATTTCATACCATATACATTGCAGTTACTGTTTTTATATGACTAGAGTTAAATACTCTGGGGGAAACTTATCAAAACTGGAGCAGGCAGAATCTGCCTGCTCCAGCCCATAGCCACCAGTCCTCTTCTGTTTGTTCAGTTAAGCTTTAAAAATGAAAGATAGAAGGTGATTGGTTGCCATGAACAACTGCTCCAGATTCTGTCTGCTCCAATTTTGATTAATTCCCCTCAAATTGGAAAAAAACACAGGTCAGTTGAGCTCAACCAATAGAAAATGAATAAAAATAAATAAATTGAAAACCTGCATATACAGGACCCTAAAGCCTCAGGTGATCCAGAGGAAGGCAAAAAAAGTTTGGTCCAGTTTGCCCAAGCTGAAAAAATATCCTTCTGATCCTCTAAGGCAATCAGATATTGACAGGATCAACAATCTATGGTGCGTTGTAGAATTATCCAGATCACAGTCTTGTGCGGTGATAGTATAATCCATATTTGTGTTCAGAGTCTAATACCTGAGAAACTGAACACACCGCATATAAAATACTGCCCTGTGGTGTGCCATGGTCCGGATGGACAGTATACCAATAAGGGGGCATACTCTGTAGGTGAAAAATAATTAAAAAGTGGAAGGGAGGGAGGGTATGCAGGAACGAAAACAACTGCAGGTAAGTTAGTGTCCAGAGGGGGGAAAGATATACTGTTGGACAGCGACTCCTCCCACAAATACAGGCTAATATATTAGCCTTCAAATTTGTGTTCGGAGTCTAATATCTGAGAAACTCAATCCACCGCATTTAAAGTACTGACCTGTGGTGTGCCATGGTCCAGATGAACAGTATGCCAATTAGGGGGCAAAAAAACCATAAAGAATAATACTTTATACACAACATCAACAATACATGTAACAACATTATTCTGCTAATTTTGAAAAGGCAGAAGCTATTTCGTCATGCGGGTTCGGAATGTATATGCTGTAACATGAGAAGTTCCACCTACCCAGTCATTTAAAGTGACATTAAAGGAAAAATGTTTTCCCTCCCCCCAATGTAAATGTCAGCACTTACCTTAAATGATGTCTCTTTTTCCGATCTTCCTCTTCTTTCCCCATGTTTTCATCTGTCCCTCCAGCGGTGTGACGTCACTCCGATCCAGCGCTGACTGCAGGCGGGTGCACGCGTCCATAGACTTACCTTGCGTCTCTGCTCGTCTCCCGGCCGAGAATCGGAACTGCGCATGCGCCCGCCCCAAGATCCTTTGTGGCCGTACGAGCAGTTCCTGATTCTCTGCGCGGGAACGAGCGGCGATAACGAGGTAAGTTTTAAATGATTTTAAGCGGGTTTTTTTTGGTTTTTTTTACACTTCTTGCCTATATCTACTGCATGCTAGCAGTACATATAAGCAAAAAAAAACCGGAGGGTTTAGAACCCCTTTAATGACATGTGCTGGCACTCCGTGTCGAGATGCGGCTGATGCAGCTCCTATATGAAAGGAGTGGCCTGTGTATTGTTTGTTGGTTGATACTTAATTGTCTGATAAGCAGTTGGACATGATCAACAAACTGGCTGGATGAAATAGGAACTAAGGGAAATGGCAAAAGCGGACTGTCCAATGCCAAATTAGATAGTTTAGATATAAGACTATCCAACACAGATACCGGGCACCAGGGATTGCCCGAAGAGAATAATGTAATTTCAGTTGGAATACTTACCTAGTTGGTTTTACTAAGTTCTAGTAACAGCACATAATGATTAGTGTAATGCACTAAATGTTTTTTCAGTAACGTAAATGAACGGGTGTTAGAACGGGTGAAATCTTCGGGCCTCAGAAACCCATAGATTGCTATGTATATAGCAGCTTTCAAAACTAAACTCTGCAAGACATCAAAGCGGGCTCTATCTAACATGTTAGACATGTTACGAAACATATGACTGGTGATGGGTAATGGGTGATGGGTAACCCATTACATCCAGAAATCACAGAGCACATCTCCACGATGTGCTCTGTGATTTCTGGATACCTTTGAGAATGGCTTTGATAGGATGGGCTGACAATAATGAAGGTCTGTCCATTTTTATTTTTTTTTTTTATTTATTTCTCTTTATTTCCATTGAATATTTCCATGTTAATGCATATCTTAATTACATTTTTCATTACATTGTTCCACATTTCTCGTACAATACAATTACAATACTCTTATAAAACATAGAACAGAAAACTATAAAAATGACCACCTAATTTGCATCTCCATTTCTTTTTTTAACGCCTGCAATATTATAATCTTCTCTTTCTACACACAATCTCTCCTCCACCCCATCCATTCACCCTCATCTCCCACCCTTTCCCCTGCTACCCTTTCACCTACCCCTTTCCCACAAAAATAAAAAAAAAGGAGCGGGAGCCCCCCCTCGGACCTTTAAAACCAGATAATAGAAGCAATGGTAATAGAAAACTTTTCCTCTTTTCTCTTTCCTTTTATCCTTCTTTCTCATTTCCATGTATCAACTTCTCTCTCACTTATCTTGTCTATATGAGATCCTGTAGTTCTGTATACGCTGTAAGCTCTATCCAGGGTTTCCAAAACCCAACAAATTCTCCATTTTGATCTTGAAGGCTTAATGTAAGTTCCTCCATTCTCATAATATGGTTCAATTCAGATACCCATTCTCTGATTTGTGGTAACGATGTAGACTTCCAGTATCTGGGTATTAGTGCCCTAGCTGTATGTAACGAATGCCAAAAGAGAGACTTCCTAACCTTTTTTATTGGGCCCGGGATTATCGATAGTAAGGGCACTTCCGGTGTTTCTAGCCATTTTTCCTCCGTTAGCCTATTACCCATCCTAAATACAGTTTCCCAGAAGGGTCTAATTAAATCACATGCCCACCATCTATGTAACATATTCCCTTCCTTATTTCCACATCTCCAGCATTCTATAGGGATCTGTTGATTCCATCTATGTAACACTGCCGGGCATCTGTACCACCTAGTTGTAATTTTGAAATTCCACTCTTGTATTTGGCTTGAGTTAATCGTTTTAAAGGTTAGATCAAAAGCTCTATCCCATTCACCAGATGAAATCATATGCCCCAGTTCCCGTTCCCTTAATAACGATAGTTAGGGTATGCATGTCTCAACAGTGTTTGATATAGGTAGGTGATTTTCACTGTGCTTTCTTTCTTTTTTATCCACCCCTCTTCAAATGGTGTAAATTTACGTGTTAGGCTACCTCTCTTATTCAGTAACAAAAATAAATGTTTCAACTGAAAGTATGGTAGCCACTTCCCTCCATAGTGGGACCCCATATCCCCAATTAAGGTTATGATAGATAATTCCTCCTCTGTAAGAGCTTGCATTATTGGAGATGGTTTTGATTCATGCCATTTCAAGAACCGGCTTTAATTTAATCCTTGTGGGAACTCTGGATTGCCTAACATAGGTGTTAATGGCCCCGCATAGGGTGAGACCTTAACTAAAGGTAGCATAGTCTGTGTGGTTGGACGCTTATTCGATGAATCCATGAAATGGATAAAAGTGAGAGCGGAGTTGCGGCCTGTACAATTGATACCCATATCTTCAATTCAGTATGGTATCTCCAGTCCATAAGACATCTTAGGGCTGCCGCCATATGGTATATTTCAAACTGTGGTAGCCCTCCTCCTCCCCTATGTCTACCGTTACCAAAATCTCATACCGTAATCTAGGGGGCAATCGCGGCCATATGTATTTAGTAATGATCGACTTCAATTTACGAAAATATGACCTTTATCGGCAATTATTTGAAATAGATATAAAAATCGAGGAAGATTATCCATTTTTATCAGGGCAATCCTTCCCATCAAATAATGTTTTTTAGAGGTCCAGTATTCATTCATTTTTGTTGCATATTTGTTAATAAAGTGATGTTGTTCTTGTATCGCAATGTTCACCCCCAGATATTTAATAGCCTTATCCGCCCATTTAAACGGGAATTTATCCTGCAAAAATATCTTATGTTTTAAGTGTAACGTACATTCAGAAATTCTGATTTTGAGACATTTATCCGAAAATTACTTAATTTCCCGAATAACTCCATTTCTTTCAAAAGGACCGGGAAGGAGATTTTAGGATTTGTGATGTATAAAAGCAAATCATCAGCAAAAAGGCTGAATTTATGCGTTCTATCTCCCACCCTTACGCCCCTTCCCCCCTCTATATGCCTATTCATGCTTATGGTATTTGCCAGATGTTCCATTGCCAGGATAAACAGGAGGGGTGATAGGGCTCACCCCTGTCGGGTCCCATTTGTAATATGTACCCGTGTCGATAAATGTCCATTCACTCGTATCTTGGCGGTAGGGGCTGTACATAGCGCCATGATCTGTCCTATGTAAAGGGGTGGTAACCCTATCTGCTCCAAAGATGCTTTAAGAAACCTCCAATCTAGGCGGTCAAATGCCTTTTCTGCATCTATAGTCAATAAGCACATAGGAATCTTGCACATTTTAGCCCATTGGATCAATGTCAATATCTTAATGGTATTATCTCTCCCCTCCTGCCCTGGCACAAAGCCTACTTGATCTAAATGTATTAAGAATAAGATATGTGTGTCAGGGTTCCATCCTGACTTTACTGGTTTGCGGCAGTTAATAATATCAGCAGTGGCCTGATTGTCAGTATGAAATGTGACCGTGTGGCCTGACCAAAAAGGACCCCAAACTTTGGCAGCAGCAGCAAAATCTCAAATAACAATGACGTTCTAGAAAATGCAGGAATAGATAGGACTTCGACCGGCCAAGGACTGGCGAACCAGTGGGGGTCAAAAATAGCAGCAAAACCAAAGGAAGCTGCTGCATCCATGACTACCTGCGGAGATGCAGAGGAGACTTGGGGGATAAACATGGAAATCCCATTCCAGTGCTGTAGGAATGAATCCCAAATGACTAGATCAGCACAGG